AAACAACACTTGATAGAGAGGGGAGAGAGTGGAGGCTAGTGAGAGAGAGAGGGGAGGCTAGTGAGAGAGAGAGAGAGAGAGTGTGGGCGAGAGGGAGTTAAAAAGAGAGGGAGCTTGGTAGGGAAGGGGGCGGAGAGTGGGAGGAAGGGAGGTTAAGAAAAATAGGGGGGACGGAGGAGGGGGTTGAGGAAGGTGGGTAGGAGAGAGAGAGAGAGAGAGAGAGAGAGAGAGAGAGTACTCCCTGACCCCACGCTGGCTCCCCTTCCCGTCCTTGGTGTGGAGCGTCATAGATATGCGTCTTACTGGTGAAGGAGGCGCCTCGACAGTGTCCTCTGAAGTTTAATTACCTTCATAGTTACAGGTAAGTGGGTCCTATAGGCCTTCGGTACACAGGGAAGGCATTGTGTCTGGCTGTTGCTTTTATCCCCCTTCACTTCCTCAGCTGTAAATTCAAGTACCATTCACAGCTGGGTAGACTAGGAGTGCCCCGGGTACAAGCCAGTGACCTTCAGGACAGGAGACGAGCACTGGATGCACTCAGCCACCACACTCCATTCTAGATACCTGACAATCATAAAATCATTCCGAGAGCCAAGTTAGATATGAGAGAGTTGAGGAATAGTTTACTTCCCGCTGCGTCTCTCACTCCCCAACGTAAACAAACCACACACTAAATATAGACTATCAGAGCCTTATTTTTCTCATCTTGGAATCAATAAAACTGATTTATGGGTGTTCATGTTGTATGCATCCCACGGAGAAAACCAGTCCCTGCTCTCTACTTACTCCCACAGGACGCAGCCACTTCAGTGTTTATCGTTGCGTTAATCTAAGAGACGACACCACAGGTACTACCACACGTCCAGGTATACAGATTCAAGAGTGTTGTATCAGAACTGGGTTGTTTGTTGGAGTGTTCCCTCGCTACCATGTACAACTGTGTATGTCTTCCATATGACGTGTGTGTGTGTGTGTGTGTGTGTGTGTGTGTTAATACTCATACTTTACATACTTACTTGACCACATACTTACACGACTTCGTACTTACACCCCCACACACTTACACAACAACATACTTGCACACCTTACACACACACATACACACATACATACATATACAATACACCCACTTATATTCACACCCACACACTCACAGACAAACCCACATACACAAACACCTACGCACCTATGCGCCCACACACCCACACACCTGCACATGAAACACAACTACTGTACAAGGAGATGAACCAAAATGAACAAAAAAACATTGAACAGAGAACTGGACAGAGGTTGATGAACAGAATGAAAGAACAGGATGTGAAAGATTATAGCTAAAGAAGTGTATAATGCAGAGGTGAATGATGGAAGGAAGAGGAGAAACGAGGAACAAAATGAGGGGATGAGGTGAAGGATGGGGTGAAGGATGGGAGTGAAGGATGGAAGTGAAGGATGAAAGTGAAGGATGGGGTGAAGGATTGGAGTGAAGGATGGGAGTGAAGGATGGAAGGATGGGAGTAGGATGGAGAATGGATGGATTAAGTGCAGGATAGGGATGAAGGATGGGGTGAAGGATGGGGTGAAGGATGGAAGTGAAGGATGGGGTGAAGGAGACAAAAGAAAGAAAGAGAAGTACTCCAAAATAGAAGAAATAAGAGAAGAAACAAGGAAGAATGTAAACAACGTGAGAACAATATCATAAATAATAGATAAGAGAGAATGAATAAACATGAAAAAGAGAAAGGAAGAGAAAATAACTAGTGTGGGAAGAGATAAAAGATGAAGATTACGATATAAATAAAGACGAACATAAAAGAAAAGAACGCAGGGATAGTAAAAAAAAAGGGAAAGAGGAGGAAGAGGAAGAAGAGGAAGAGGAAGAGGAAGAGGAAGAAGAGGAAGAGGAAGAAGAGGAAAAAGAGGAAGAGGAAGAAGAGGAAAAAGAGGAAGAGGAAGAAGAGGAAAAAGGGGAAGAGGAAGAGGAAAAAGAGGAAGAGGAAGAAAAAGAGGAAGAAGAAGAAGAAGAGGAAAAAGAGGAAGAGGAGGAGTGCGTAGAGTAGCAACAGGTGTGAAGGAAAATATGAGGGCGGAGCAACAGGTACTGCCGCGCCGCCCACTGATCAATACCTGTCCGACAGTAGACGCCTGGCGAACTGGTAGCCACGGTGGGGGTGAGGTGCCATGGTGGGGGGTGAGGTGCCATGGTGGGGGTGAGGTGCCATGGTGGGGAGGTGTGATGGTGGGGGATGGTGGTGGGTGAGTTGGTGATGGTGGGGGTGAGGTGGTGGGTGGTGGGGGGTGAGGTGCCATGGTAGGGGTGAGGGGATGGTGGGGGGAGGTGCTGGTGGAGGGTGGAGGTGCCATGGTGGGGGGGTGAGGTGCCATGGTGGGGGGGTGAGGTGCCATGGTGGGGTGAGGTGCTGGGTAGGGGGCGAGGTGTGAGGTGGAGGTGAGGGGTGGTGTGGTGGGGGGGGCGAGGTGCCATGTAGGGGGGGGTGTGGTACATGGTGGGGGGTGTGGTGCTATGGTGGGGGGGTGGGAGGTGCTGGCGTAGGAGGGTGGAGGTGTGGGGTGAGGTGCAGTGGTGGGGGTGAGGGGGGTGATGGTGGTGGTGGGTGAGGGTGTCAGTGTGTGTGGTGGGGGGTGTGAGGAAACATGGTGGGGGTGAGGTGCCATGTGGTGGGGCGTGAGGTGCTATGTGGGGGGTGAGGTGCTATGGTGGGGTGGAGGTGAGTGGTGGGGCGAGGTGCTATGGTGGGAGGTGTGGTGCCATGGTGGGGGGGCGAGGTGCCATGGTGGGAGGGTGGTGCCATGGTGGGGGGGTGTGTGCCATGGTGGGGGTGGTGGTGGGGGGGGTGCAGTGGTGGGCGGCGAGGTGCTATGGTGGGGGTGCAGAGGGTGGGGGGTGGAGGTGCTGAGGTGCAGTGGTGGGGCGAGGGGTGGGGGCGAGGTGTGAGGTGCAGTGGTGGGGGTGCGGTGCCATGGTGGGGGTGTGCCATGGTGGAGGGCGTGGTGGTGCCATGGTGGGGGGTGAGGTGCCAGGTGGGCGGGAGGTGCTATGGTGGGGGGTGAGGTGGTGGGGGTGAGGTGCAGTGGTGGGGGTGAGGGGTGATGGTGGAGGGTGGTGTCATAGTGGGAGGGTGAGGTGCCATGGTAGAGGGTTATGGTGGGGGTGAGGTGTGGTGAAGTGTGAGGTGTCCTGGTGAGGAAGAGGTGCCATGGTGGAGGGTGAGGTGTCATGGTGGAGGGTGAGGTGTCATGGTGGAGGGTGAGGTGTCATGGTAGACTCCCGACACCTAACCTAACCCCTCGGTAGCATTAGAGTGTGTTTAATCCCTGGATGAAATCAACTAGGGTGTCTAATCTTCATGTGATCAGATGAACAACTATTAACACAATACCCCTCTCGACCGCTAATAAAATACTCACTAACTCTATTCACGATATAAACATACACGCGGCCAACAAAGAAACCTATTGACATTTAATTACAAGAATAAAAGATTACACAGGACAATAACAGTATTAACGGCGCCCCCAAATCCACCGTGTAACCTGGGCTAATGACGATGTTAATAATCTCCATTAAAAAGAACCTTAAGTCAGATTGTCAGGTGGTAAAGGTATTTGGCTCCTGGATGGTTAATGAATCAGAAATGTGTTAAAGAGAGTGCTGTTGTCAGAGCTCAAGGAAGGTGACTGGAGGGAGGGAGAGAGAGAGAGAGAGATTAGTTGGCTCTATGCACGTGTCTGTGGAACTTGTGAGTGGGCATGACGTGATGTAGGTTAGGTGGAGATTCATATTCTTCAGGAGGCTGTGATTCCCTTGAGGACGATGACTTGATTCTTGATTCCGATAACTTGATCCATTGAGTACGATGACTTGATCCCTTTTCGAAACAATCTATAAAGACTACCAAAATTTTCCCAATCAAAGTAGGCAGGTTAGGTTAGGTTAGGTGAGAGAAGCTGCAGAATAAACCACGTCCCAAACACAGCAGCCAGGTTAGGTGAGAGAAGCTGCGGAATAAACCACGTCCCAAACACAGCAGCCAGGGTAGGTGAGAGAAGCTGCAGAATAAACCACGTCCCAAACACAGCAGCCAGGATAGGTGAGAGAAGCTGCAGAATAAACCACGTCTTCTCGGGGGTGTACAGCAGAGCATGAGAAAACACAGTGGCATGTTACTGCATAGGTATAACAACTCAGCCAGGGATCAACACCGAGCTCTTGTGAACACTTCCCTGAGCCCCCATCACACAGGAGCGCCACAGAGAGAAAGAGAGAGAGAGAGAGAGAGAGAGAGAGAGAGAGAGAGAGAGAGAGAAGAAACTCCTAAAGCAGAAGAGAGAGAGAGAGAGAAGTCAAAGAACAATGGGGAATGGAGACTAGTGGATATACAAGAGAGAAAATAGTGAAGGCAAGTGAGCCATGGGGGAAGGGGGTGGGGAACACGATGAATATGTATGTGGGAACATTGGATCGACCCCACAACCTGCCACCCAGACTGCATAAACATCCTCTAAACTGACCACATTCTCAATAGTATCGTGGATGGAGTAGATGAGTTAACTAATGCTGATGTAACGGGTTAGGATTTGTTAAGAGGCTAGGCGCCATCTTTGCTTTACTAGGTGTGGTTTAAAGATATACGTTTACAAATATTGACACTTTCAATCGATAAGACAGTAAAGTGTGTAATATTCGACAGCTAATCCTTCAAACTCATAAAACAAATGTTAAATGTTGGGTAATAATGAGATAATGAATCATGATCTGAGTTGAAGTATCGATCACTATGATTCATTTCCCAAGAGTCAGTCAGATGATGGATAGAAAAGGAAGATTTTTTTTTTTGAGGTGGAAGGAGGGGCGAGTTAGTGATGTAAAAATTAAACAGATGGGAAATGACACACACATTGTTAGACAGAAACACACAAAGCGGAGGCGTTAATTAAGTGAATTGTATTCCTCAGTAAAGTGCGAGAGAGTATTATACGTGATGCCCTGTGAACCTCTACAGCGGAACAACCTTATAAATGAATACCATCACGGGCTTATGTCTGGACACTTGATACAGCCGCTGGAGGTGCCTAACCTTCCCCCATCTCACGAGAATAAAAGACCAGAGAAAGAACAGAAGAAAGGAGAATTAGAGAATAAAGAAGGAGTAAAAGTAAGTAAAAGTAAAGAAAAAAGAAATAAACAAAATGAAAAAGGAATAATAAAGGTTATATTATTGTTGCAGTATGGTCACAGATATGGTCATTATACACGAGGTTGTTACACTCGAATCCTCTCCTAATTACCGTACGCTCAAATTCAAAGCCACACTAAACAGACATACAGCTACAAGTACCGTTAACAGGGCACTGTGTCTAACTAGGTGCACTGCTCCCTGTCTATATGTCTTGGCTGGAGGAAGACAGCCTATACACCTGTACATCAGAGTCACCTGCCCATCAGAGTCACCTGCCCATCAGAGTCTCCTCCCCAGCACCAACATTTCACTACACTCAATAGCCCCCTCAGGTAACTTCGACCTTACACCATCTAAGTGTAACAAAACAAACATGAACTACTTTGACTCCCCTGTTGGTGGCTGCATCACTTCGCGCTTCACCTTGCATGAGATACAAGGAGGGGGGGGGGGAAGAGAGAGCTAAACAAAGGTGCTCGTGTGGCGGCAAAACTAAAATATCTGGACTGTGAGAAAAAAAAAACTGAGATGACAAACTATATGAGAGAAACACGTAAGTTGGGATCACCTGAGAACTGCCCCCACTCCCCAACCCCTCGCCCTCCTCATCCCCTCCTTACTGCACCTGAATATCATAACCTAATTTATGTTAGCCTGTTGCTTTAAGTAAATAGTTGTTGAGTATTGATAGTGTTTTAAGATTTTTTCTCCACTTTTCCTCTTTGCTTCGATCTTCTGTTTTCCTCACCTCACCTCCCTCACAACACACTTCACCTTCACCTCACCTCCTCACAACACACTTCACCTTCACCCTCACTTCCCCACACCACGTCTCCAACACTCACCCTTCACCTCACCTCCCTCCACACCACATGTCTCCAACACTTCACCCCTCACCTCACCTCCCTCACACCACATCTCCAACACTTCACCCCTCACCTCACCTCCCTCACACCACATCTCCAACACTTCACCCTCACCTCACCTCCCTCACAACACATGTCTCCAACACTTCACTCTCCCCTCCCTCACACCACATGTCTCAACACTTCACCCTCACCTCTCACCTCCCTCACAACACTTCACTCTCACCTCACCTCCCTCACACATGTCTCCAACACTTCACCCCTCACCTCCCTCACAACACTTCACTCTCACCTCACCTCCCTCACAACACTTCACGTCTCCAACACTTCCTCCCTCACCTCACCTCCTCCACCATGTCTCCAACACTTCACTCTCACCTCACCTCCCTCACACCACATGTCTCCAACACTCTCACCTCACCTACCTCACACCACATGTCTCCAACATCACCCTGACCTCCCTCACATGTCTCAACACTTCACCTCACCTCACCTCCCTCACACCACATGTCTCCAACACTTCACCCTCACAACACATGTCTCCAACACTTCACCCTCACCTCACCTCCCTCACACAACATGTCTCCAACACTTCACCCTCACACCACATGTCTCCAACACTTCACCCTCACCTCACATCCCTCACACCACATGTCTCCAACACTTCACCCTCACCTCACATCCCTCACAACACATGTCTCCAACACTTCACTCTCACCTCACCTCCCTCACAACACGTCTCCAACACTTCACCCTCACCTCCCTCATACCACACCTCACCACCACCAACACAAACAGTTAATTATAAACGTAAATAATCATAAAAGTTCGCACTGGTTTAGTATTTTTGTTGTTTGTTAATATTTTTGTTATTGTTTGTTGTTGTTTGTTTGTTGTTAATATTTTTGTTATTATTTTTGTTGTTTGTTGTTGTTTTTGTAATTTGTTATTATGTCGTTTATTGCTTTTGTTGTTAACCATTGTTTTTGTTTGTTAATGTTTTTGTTATCTGTCATTGCTCTGTCTCGATTGAATAAGTTCTTGTTTTTGCTCCCATGTCATTGTTATCACTTTGTCCCGTTTGTCAATATTTTTTTTGGGGCTTATTGTTCCGTTTGTCTGTGTTTTTTGTTACTTATTCTTCCGTTTGTCTGTGTTTTTTTTATTGTTTTGTCCCGCTTGTCATCATTTTGGTTTACTAGGTGTGATGCTGTGGCTCAGGGATCAACTTGAGATGATCGAAGGTAAACTGTTTGTTGGTTTATACTTAAATTCTCGAACTTCTGTTATTTAACCCTTTGAGGACTGTGGCTTAGCCCCTTGAGGACTATGGTTTAACCCTTTGAGGAAGATGGTTTAAGCCTTTAGAAACAATGGTTTAACTATTTTGAGGACGATGGTTTAACTTTTTGAGGGCGATGGTTTTAAACCCTTGAGAACGATGAATTAACCTTCTTTTGGACGAAAATATAGACCGTTCACTTTCTATCCTAAGGGCCGTTCTTTCATGGTCGGGGTTCCCATAGTCTACCCAGCTGTGTAGATATACCGGAGTTTTGTTGGGGAAGTGAAGGTGGTCACGTAGTGCCAAAGGCTTAGTATTCAGTGTGCTGTAGGCAAGGGAGCCACTTTCACTTTCCTGTCGCTTTACATTAAGCACTGTATTAGATATGTTCCCTCTCTAATGTTCTTGCTATCTGTTTTATGTTTCTCTGTTTATTCATCTGCTTTTCCCTGTGTCAAGTGTTACAAAGAGCGAGCACATAACTCAGACCAACCCCTTGTGGTAATATTACAACACCACGACTCAGTGACAACCCGCGGGGCAGTTTACAACAGCAAGCCGACTCCTCATATCAAGGTGTTCACCCCACAAGTATATGACTGTCATGTACAACACCAGACACTGGTCAGAGACAGCACATACACACTAATATCTCCCCTCGGGTTGTGTACGTACACACACACACACACACTGGGTTATGTGCGCCATACATCACCTCACTAAATCTGATACGGTAGTTATTGATCACTGCCACTGGTGACCTCGACACGTGCAGCTCCCGTGGGAATGCCTATTGACCTGTGACCTGTTGTTGTGACGGTGTGGGAGAACAAAGTGTTCATCTCACCCTGGCCCAAGGAGGTGTAATGTGAGTGACCATTAAGTGTGTGATCCCGGTCTCACCCCACAGAACCACAGTGAGTCAAGGCACTGTTCCTCGGACCTGAGGTAGTGGGGTCACCAGAGTGCATACTCCAGAATTGTCACTTCAGCACATACCACACTGTCTCACTCGAGCGGGTCACCTTTACATCAGAGCCAGGGGCGACGCCAGCCAAATGCATCACGTATACAAGTGGCAGGAGTCACCAAACAGCGTCACTGTAGCAGGTCCACACCCACCTACCAGACTTGAAAGGCGACGACGTAATGAATGCTAGTTTCAACGGGAAGCTTTATCAGTGTGTGTGTGAAAGAGCCAAGATGGTCCATCAACAAGCAGTAAACATGTTGAGAGATACACTCTGCTACCGCCAACTTCCTTACAGTGTGACGCTCACTTGTGTCTGTGGTGTAACAAACAATCTGGTAAGCGTCTGTGAGTAAACCCTGCATACAGCTCAAATCCAAATTATAAAGGAGCCAAGTTCCCACCGTCCAGTATAACTGGTGACTGCTTCTGTTATGGTTCGGTCTGACCCTCTGATTCTAATGTGTTCAGATCATATAATATTATACGGGTCCAGGGGAGCTACGGTGCCACTGCCTATCTCGCTCTCTTCAACTGTACATAAATGAATTCTTTAAACTTTCATCTGCAAAAGTAGAATAGTTTATTCCATACATTAACGTGAACTTAAACTTAGTTTTTGCCTTTAAGCAAGTAGGATGAGTCTGGGTGACTTATCAAAGCTGCGTTTTTCAAATTAGACCTTTGTACAGTGATTTTTTGAGATGCCAAAAGAGTATAAATAATTGTTAAATCATCCTGAATGTAATGTTTATGATTAATAGCATACTAAAAAGTTACAAAAAGGGCTACACATACCTAAAACTTATTAAAACCAACATAATAGTTTTTTTTTAAACAATGTTTTTAAAACAATTTCTTTAAAAAAATTAGAACAATGGTTTTTGCCAACCCTGCTTTTAATAAATAACACCAAAGTCACGTAACTCTAAAATACATTGACGAATTATATTGTTTTAGGTCATATTTTCATAACCTAACCTAACGCTAACCCCAGGTAACGTTAGGGTGTTTAATCCTGACACGATCCTAAGATATTGCCCTAAAATGTCTGTCAAGGTTGATTATGTGGCTGAGGTAGGTCAAAGGTTAAGGTCATATACGATGTAGTTCTTGACCTCAATAGTCCAAGCATCTGAGGGTAGTGTTGAAGCTCCTCCACCTACACACTCTCAGTTTTCCTTTCATACTTCTTGACTAAAATCCTGAGTTATTCCTGGAATTGTTTTGTGTTTGACAGACAGCCAGGGTCACTGAGCCAAAGGTCGCTCGGTCTGCCTTAAGCTTTTACCTTCAACTTTATGATTAAATTCCACTTCACCTGAAGATTCCACCCAAGTTTATTTCACCTGAAGATTAACCAACCTAAGGCTAACCTGACATAACTTAACCTAACCTAACGCGAACCTAATCTGAACTAAACCAACCTATTCTAACGCTAATGCTAAACCTAACCTAACTTAACCTAAACCAACCTTATCTAACCTAACCTAACTTAACCTAATCTACCTTAACTCATTCTAAACTAACATACGCTAATCCAACTTCAACTAACCTAACCCTTCAGGTACTGTAACATTAGGGTTGATTAAACTTCAGGTGAAATAAACTAGGGTGCCTAATCTTCAGGTGATCCTAAATTGCAACTACGATTTACCATTTTGGGGAGAGAGAGAGAGAGAGAGAGATCCATGAATATATGACCGTGTTGGTAAATATGTAATACTGTATTTATCATTTGGATAAAACTCGTCGAATGTGTCTATCTGTCAGTCATGTCTGTCAGTCTGTTATGTGTTAACTGTCTGTTGGCTGGATGTTTATTGATTATGGAGAAGACAGTGTTAAAAAAAGA